TATGCATAAAACAATTTGATCCTCTTCATGACACACATGCACAAACAAACTTTAGATCTTATTTTAGATGATTCCAAGTGCTCTTATGCCACAACTAATTCGTAACCTAGTAGTAAGTGATGTTACTTGATTACTCCATGTGCCTTCTTTAGGCGACCAAGGACTAATTTTTCTCAAGCTAACTTTTTAGACTTATGGATCCTAATTTGAGGTCTTTATTGAGCCTCCACCCAACCACGCATTAGGCCGTTTCCATTAGTGACCACTATGGTCCCTCAACGACCTCACATGTAAGTTCCTTTTGGGAGAAACTACTCGTTTGAGCTGTTCCATGTGACCAACCCCTTAGTCCCACACTCCGAGCTCTGATTTCGATAGCTACAGTGTGCGGTCTTGATCTTCATGAGTATGCCTGTGAGGTAGCAATGCAGCTGTCCCGACGATAAGCGCGGGAGTTTTGAAGACATACTAGCGTTGGCAGACTTGGTTCCGCCGAGTTGGTAACGGTAGATGGTGCTCGCTGCACCTAGAATATTGATTTTCATGTTTTCTTTCGCACAATGCCCTCTTAATTTGCATGTATGGATCGAAGCGCTTGCTTTATATGCACCGAAACAAATTGTTGTGAAACCGATACAGTTGCTCTTGCTACTCGCGATTGTTAAGCTCGAGTTGAGCAGTGCACTCGTAAAGATTGGAGGTTATGAGTTTACTTCGAAATAAGAATATTCTTTTCTCAGTCAAGGATCTGATATTTGAATCCTACCTCCAGCGTTTCAGCACTTGGTCTGTTTATGGTGTGTACTCGTAGGTTTTCTGGGATATAGTTAGTATGTCGGCTTGTGTAGTGTTGACCATGTCAGAAGAGGATGTTTCAAATTTGTTTGTGTCTTTGTAGAGTATTCACCACCATTTTTTTTTATTATTTTTTCAACTCTCAAAAGTGTTCAGGCCCATTCAGAGGTTGTTTGCTGTCTATTACTCAATGCAATTTTAGAATTGAGCTTTCAATAGCAGACAGAGTTCTGTGATTGGCTGGGTTACCACCAACTTCTTTTGTTTTTTGCAACCAGCACGAACCACATGCTCGCTTACTGTTGCAGCGCACGCTTTTACCCACTCTCCATTTCGATGTTTTTTAAATTTGTGGGGATTTCTGGTGTAACAAACCAGTTGTGTTTGCTCAGACCTGATTACATGCTGTTAAGTCAATTGTTTTTCTCATCAAGTAGGAGATACGTGCACGGTAGAATATCCACATGTTTTTTAACAAGGAGTTTACCGAATGGTTCAAGGTCCACTGAATGCTTCTCATGGCAATCAACCAGGTGCTCAGATAATGTTCACCTTTCCCATTATTATCAGGATAGATTCGACTCAGAGTTTCGTTTTGACTGGACGTGTTTCTTCTTTCACTGGGAACATGAAATTTATGTGACGAATTGCATTTCACAGCAACGTTGACAACCTTCGGCAACCACCTGTCTGCATTCGAGATTTTGCTATTCCATGCAATTGTTTATGAAGCTTAACAACTTCATTTTATCATGTTAATCTCAAACCGCATTCCAGTCAACGTTGAGATGGGTGTAAATCATGACCACCTTAGCAGTGTCAAACACTGATTACATACCAATGCATAATCTACTCAAGTATCCAGCCGAGCCCGGAGGTATATATTCGGATTTTGAGAAGCCTCAAACATTCATCTTTCCGTGTGTGGTTGCAATTTCCTTTTCATTGAATCAGCTTGCTAGCGTTCATTGAGTCCCTCTCACACCCACTTGTACTAGACGTACTAACTATGACGATGCTAATGGTGCATTTTCAGCAGCATCCAGTCTCGGATTTGGATTCTGCTATTGGTTCGAGTCCTCGCCTTGGATGGAACAGTCTGTCCTTCAACTCTCAGACACGGCCATCCGGTCTACCAGACATCACGCCACCAGATCACAACTGCTTGGGCCCGGATTGTCCCATATGCAAGAATTCTCGGGACCCTTCCACAATGGGATCGTTGTTGACCGCCGGAGTGCATTCCAAGCACAGCGCAGTCGAGTTGAAATTCGTTCCGGCGACGTTCAACTCCGCCAAATTCCTCGGAGGCATTGTATTCCATTCTCATTCTCTAATTGACTTCGTGAATTGCCCAAGAGCTTGTAGACGGAGTAACAGTCCATGATCATAGACTGTTTGGCTTGCCGGGTGGGTTTATATCATAATCTGCAATGTATCATGCAGTACATATTTGATGCATAGCGTGTTGGTTAACAAGTAAATAAAGTTTGCTGATTCTCTGTATTGATAATTCCTTGGCATGCTCAGGGAAAATCAGCATTCATACTTACGTTGTTATTTTTACATTAAATGTTATAAACCTTGAGGTTCTTCTGTGAGTGCATGAGTGGTCATTTTTATTATCAAATTGAAATGATTAACTAGAAGAGTAAAATTCACAATGTGAACTTACCAGGTGCTCAGTATATTTTAGCTTGAATACTCAATTCGATTAGATTTACTGTTTGTATTGATTTTAACAGGGATTTCTGTTGTATTAAATGGTCTCCTACCATTATTTCTCTTACCACATGTTGTTTTTAATTATTTTTGTGGGCAATGTGCACATGAGTTCATATCTTAAAATATGCTATACCTTGTAGAGATATTTTAAGTTCTCTATTACTTTTCTTGTGCAATGGAATTTTTAATTGCCCACAAGAAGACTTTGAATTTTGAAATAACACAATCTTTTATACAAGATAGATTATTTGTAAAAATATCTTTGTGGCAATTTTAAAACTTCTGCAACGTCAATTTATTTTTCAATTTTGTATATCAATTGGTATTTTCGATTTTTCAATTTTATTATACCAATTGATATACAAAATTGAAAAGTTAAAATCAATTATAACTTCTGTTAAGTCAATTTATTTATTTTTTAATTTTACGGTTCTTTTTAATGTTAAAATATTTATGTCAAGATATTTACTTTTCAACATCTTGACATAAATACTGGAATGGTTTTTGACATTATAATTGGTTTTTATCTCTGTTCTTACATGTTGTACAAGTCAAATCATCTTATCATACTTCTGAAAATATTCTACGTTTGACACTTGTTAAAGTGAATTCATGAATAACCTCATTTAATTTTTATTTAACTGCATGAATAACCTTATTTAACTTGATATAAGACAAAAACATGATGACCTTAAAAATGCACTCTAATCAAAATCCAAATCATTGTCTTAGCAGACTCAATAACCTTATGAATTGTGCTCTTCACAGTGAAGCACTTGCATGAGGCTGTTTCAGGAGATTAATTTTCTCACACTGAGAGAAGTTGTAGAATCTGCCAACCCAGGCACAACTTTTGGACAATTGTTGAGCAAATGCATGCCACCCTCAGCATCAAGACTATCTCCCACTCTGTAGCTTCATCGTCGGCTTTTATTCTCTCAGGCTCAAAGATTTTGGCTGCATTCAACTTGGTTTGTTGGATGAACTAATTGATTAATACAACTCGTTTTGTGAACTCATTCTGATAATCATATCAGCAGTGAAAGAAATGTAATAGGGCAGTATCCTGTATCTAATGTACACACAATTTAAGACAGAACTCGTTTTACCAATATTCTATATCTAAGCCGCTTTATTGAGAGGCCAGGAATCATTGAACATGGTTCAAATATCTATTTGAAAGTTATAACCCGTTTAGGATGCAATAGCCACCAATCAGACTTGACTAGAACTAGGTTTGCTAAGCCCAAAAATTGAATAAAAAAACAAGAAAATAAGAGCATTGAAACCGCCAGTTAAAACTAAGATTTTAGTTTCAAAGACCAGTCAAGAGCTATGTTTATTTACCAGATGAACCTGTAAGACAACCAAATCTTCCAGGTTTCCAGCTACAGAGACACTGGTGCTCACTGAGAATAACATGGAAAAAAATCGAAGTATAAAAACATTATATGAAAATTATAAAAAAAGAAAGAAAATGTGGTAAATGATCATGATACCTCGAGAACAGGACCCTGTTTTGACTTGTGGAGAATGAAATTATGATCATAGTCGTGACCTGGCAGCACCATACCTGGCTAACCTTTTCAAGTAACAATCGGGTTCATTAAACAAAAGACACGGGTTGTATAAATGTTATGCTCTCAGCCAACACTGCATTCTCTTTAAAGACACATTCTTTCATTTTTTTAACTTGTAAAGGCACATAGTTTCAGAGGCAATCAACACTCTCTTCATACACTTGCAACCAATTTCATGGTTTGGTAACCAATTGTAAGAATTGTTAAATAACTGAAACTTCGTGATTTTTTAATAATTTGAGTTTATTAGAAATGATGTAGTCTCAAAATCATAAGGAAATGAGTATCAAATACAGTCTCTCAGAAAAATTTGAGAATATTTCGGAACATCTATACTGCTCTAAACTAAGAGATTTTGTAATCAATGCCTAGAAAAAACTTGATGATTCATAAGTTCAATGGAAACATTCCTCTAAAATGAGGACCTCTGAAAAACAAATTATACATGATTGCAATATAGCCGGTCAGACAGGAGCTAGTAGAGTCAAAAGCTTTAATCTGAAGCACAAATGCCAATGCCTTACAGGTTTTAGAGAATTCAAGAGCTTGGATACTGTACCTTCTGTTAAGTAATATTGGTACATGTAGGCCAGAGAAGACACCGAATATAGAAGGTACAGATAGCACGATCGTGCCTGCGAAAGAACAATGCAGAGAATCTGATCACATGTTAAAATGGTCTTGTAAGTATTTCAGAGGCTTATAGTGCGGTCAATCTAGATATCTGTCCATATTCAATTAAAAAAATGTAATTAAAAGAATGCTTTGAGGGTATACGTGAGTATTTTTTTGTTCCAAAGACCATAATTGGTTGGCGATTTAAAAAAAAAAAAAAAAAAAAAAAAAAAAAAAAACTCGCGTAATCTTGTGCAGCGCACAAAGGTGACTGCATCTTCTGCATACAGCAACATCATTCAGCAAAAATATGCGAATCCATATTAAGCACCTTTCTGGATGGATATACAAGCTAAAATGCCTCTAAAATGGCAGAAACTGAGAGTTCTCCATAGCAAGATGAAACGTTGTATCCAAGCGTTTAGGTGGGAAATCAAAATTTTCATGCTCTATTCGAATCGTAATTTGCTGACGAATTTCTATTCCAATAACAGATTAAAATCTTTGTATCCACAACTCTCTTCTGTTTCACCTAATTGATAACTGTAGACGCACAGTTACTGCCACAAGGTATATCATCAGATCGGAAAGCGGAATATGAGTCACCAAGATCCTAGCGTGATGTCTCTTTTCTGCACAATTGCATGGAGACAAAAAGTTAATTTGAATACAATCACTTGGAACCAGGTCTACACAAAATAAGTCTAAATTACAGTTCTGCTTTGGATGGGGTGGATCATGGATGCAGTCAAAAACAAAAATTGAGACTAGGAGATTCCAAATACCCTTCGTGAGTGGGTACATGTAGCCACTTAACTTTCGATTACCTGTTCCCTCCGCTATACAAATTTCCATGACCTTTCAGCAACATCTCCAGATCCTGTAGCAATGAGGAAACTACCTCTGCATATGTTAACCATTCTGCAGCCTTCTTCATAAGGCCACAACGATTGATTGATAGAAACTTTCAAAGCGCATGTTCTGAATTCTGAAAGTAAGTAGCTTGATAGAAATGCAAATATCATTTCAGCGAGACCGTGGACAGCAAAGGTGATCTTCACCATCAAGAGCTTACGCATCCACAAACATAAATTGTACATCTCCAAAGATGACATGAAGTTCTAATGGACCAAATTCTCTCTGATAACGCTAAGTGGTCTGCATACAATGTATACAACGTCAAAAATGAATACAGGAACAATACATTAAGCTCCCATGATGCAATGCACAAACCACATGAGACACTGCACTAACTGTTAATGCAGCTCTGAAGTACCTCTGGATTCGATGTCTCCATTGCTTCATAACCTAAATCATGATCACTGGAAAGAGTGTAGAAAGGAAGCAATGACCTCTGCAGTCCGGATTCAACTGCCCCTACTGACTGGTCAAAAACGTGTTCAAATCATTTTAGCAATTCTTGCCATCTGCTGCCATCAAAGCATTCTTCAATCATGAATTGTTTATACATATCCAATTGTGTGGTTCAAAACCACCTTCAAAGAAATGCACACAAACACAGACGCACAAACCAATCCATATCCCTAGAGGTCCATGAATCAGTTACATACACTAAAGAACCTTATTTCCAGAAGGTCAATGTTATCCAGCCATTCCCTTGAAAAGGAACATGAACAGCGCCAAGTCTCATGAGTGTCCACTCAGATGCAGAAAATAAGGCCAAAACTGACTTCCTCATGTGGAGCTAGATAGGGGCCTCCATCGAGAAGGTCCCCAAGAAGTATGATTTGATCTGTGGTCATTTTGCAAGTAAAGAGCATAGAAACGCACGGCGCACATAGATTTCTGAAAAAATTTGAGTCACAAGAAGACCCAAGGAGCCTGATTTTTGGTTGTTCAAGGTGCGATCTGTGAGCTGCAAGACCACAAAGTTTTGAACGAAGTGGACTTCAGATGCATGGTACTCCACAGCAACCTACTGCACAATGCCATTCCACTGCACGAGAAAACAAAACTTAAATGAAATCGGAAAAGAAACTGTAAGGAGTGTACACATTAAGTCGGAAAATGATGATAAACCTAAACCCTAAACCCTAAACCGGGTCATGGCAAGTCTTACCCCCTAAGGATCACCGATTACCACGTTTCTGGACCCATCAGTAACTACAGGTGCACCCTATCATCCCATCGTACAAGATCACATGGTCAGTAACAATTTGTGGGAGAGTAGTAAACTTGCTCTATTTCTATTTGACATTTTTATTTGCTCTATTAGTAATGCGATCCAAGATATTTTTTATTATGCACTTGGTACACAACAGTATTAACATCATGCATTTCCTTTCACGAATTCACTTACGACGCGGCATGTTTGCATACAAGACGGATGCTCCTCGGAACAAAACAAATCAATTTGTAAATACATACACGAGCAAATAAAATTTGGGCAAAGAATGGATCTTACAGTTGTTGCATTGGAAGGCCACGAGCAAGGAAGGGGATCCAGAAGGTGATTACTTCGCCGAACGTGAGGTGGAACAATCCATTCCTAATAGACACACTTCCAATTCGAACCCTCCTATTCCAGATTGATTCTCATTAATCAGGCAATTCATGGCGAGCCCATCTTGCAGTACATGGCACTCACAAATCCATCAAGAGTTCCCACATATCAAAACAGTTGCGTCCTTATGGAAGCGCCCAAGTCCCACCCAAAAACACATATTCCTCTAAAATCGACACCTTGTGAAATTAACCCAGCCTTCTTCCACTCAACAGCAACAAATCCGTCTTGCTTGCGATAAAAATCCACAAACCCAGCTATCCAAATACCACTAGATCACTCAACCTTACAACGTGAACACAAAATGACGAAAGAGGTGGAGCAAATAACAGAAACAGAGGCCCAGTTGAAAACGCGTTTCCGACACCCCTCGAGTCCATTGCAGCGGAAATCAAACAGACTATGCGATAGCTGAGAAGCTGCAAAAAGACCTGTCTAATTGCTTATAAATGATTTCATGTTTTATTTTTTCTTGAAACCCCAAACTTTTCACTGTGCAACCCTTTTTATCAATAGTTCAAGAACTCCCAATAATTTTTTTCTTGGCAGTAAGTTCACAAAATCTGAGGCATCCACAGGACATCTATATTTGTAGACATGATGAATGAAGTAAAAACGTCAGAGGGCAAGTTGGGAACATGTTCTGCAACAATATCACTGTACTTGATGTGTGAATTGAATGAAGAGATGGATATATAATTTACTGGGTCTTAATACGTTAGATTGAAAGGAAAAGGACACACCAAACATTAGAGGATAAGTGTAAATAACAATCTCTACTTCTATATTTTCAATACTTCTAACCTGGCAACAAACAGTGAATGTCATTTGTTGATGTTTGTAATCTCATAATGTCCTGTTGTGAATCCACCTGTTGGGCAAAGTGGAATGGGATAAATTGAAAGAGGTGACAAGAAAACGGAGTTCTCCGCACTCGGGGTGTGGTTGCAGTGATGGTTTGGAAACATGGATGTTTGGCACATTCGTTTGATTATCGAACTGTTTCACAACCATAGTACATCTAGATAACCGTGTTATTGCACATTTAGATTAATTATTTCACCTCTTCACTTCATCTAGAGAGTTAGACACTGAGGATTACTCCAGTGATCGCATACTTTGTAGGATTTCATAATCGAGTGTGTTGCTCTTACATAACATTATTAGTCTTTACACCAACAAAAGCTACACAAATACGTAGTATATGAAGTGAACATTGATAATTACAAATGAAAGACATTCACTCAGTTTGACCAATAAGCTTTCAGTGCAATTGACCTAAACGTGTGTGCACACTTGATACAAACGAGCATCACACGATCGGGATCAACGTTATTGGAAACACGGCAGTGTTGAAATTTGCCTTAACTGAAGTTTAACCCGGTAGATCCAGTATTAAACGAAATAAAATATTCACCATATCGCTTCATGAGCCGAAGGCGTCTGATATTATAATTACTGTCTGCGTGATCATGAAACGAAAGAGACAAGTGGATCTGGGATATCAGTTACATATAGAAAGAGAACTAGTATCCGCCGAGATTATCAGGTAATTCAAAAACAATCGGTTTCACGAAAACTGTCAGGTTTGCGAAATGTAAAACTAGCACACGACTAAAGGCAGATCATTGTGCAAAGCCAACTAGAATAATGTTGAATGGATTTTATTAATAACAATGCAAAAGTGAACACAACGTTAGTATATTCATTTGATTGGCAATAGGTGAAGGATCAGATACACAATGTATCTGGTTACACAGAATTAACTGCAATATTCCAGCATACAGAAGAACCTGAACTGCGAATGAACATGCACGAGTACTTAGATGCGACTGCATGTGCGGCAAGTACAAAGACTGACGATTGCCTAGCACGAGAGAAAATAGGATTCCTGTTTGCAAACACTAGGGGTACTGGAAGATGACGGCTGTGGTGATGGGAAAAGCCTACACAATGGAAGTCGAAATCACACGCGTGGCGGTAGCTTATCGGGGAAACACGTCGCCGGTTGACGGCATTGTACTTCACAGTAAATGTCTTTTGAAAGAGTCGAAATTCACCGCTGCTTTCTGCACGCTTAAGATTCGCAACTAAGTTAATAGGTCGTAGATGGTATATACGACGCAGTGGCTTTCGATTATAACACCATACAATACACACTCGATTAATTAAAACGGGAATCAGAACATAAAACACTATCTTATGAGGTCTACATGCTTGTTGCTGAGAAGGACATACCGAAAAGAATGACTGCACAGCTTCTGCTCGCAGCTTGATAAAATGCTGCAAGAGCACAAAAAGAAACTTATGGTTTAAACAATATCTGTCGCGCGTGGTGATGTTCATGGTGCAGTCACCAATGAAGGTAGAAAAGAAAGGGACTATTCCGAATTGTAAGAAGTTGGAGCTTCAGAAATCCCTCAAGAGATCGACCAAAGGATCTGTGATCTCTTGAGCTTGCGGCTGCTCGTCCACTGCTAGTACATCCCCTAGAGCCAATCATACGAGTGGTAGAGCTGCTGTGTAGATCAGCCAGGACTAAAGACAGAAGCGCTTCCAAGCCTTCCAAACAAGGGTTCTTTCGTCTCCCACGAAGGCTTCCAACAGCAGAACTAGAATAATTCACTGCAACCAGTGATAATGGCCGCATCAGAGTTAATTCCGACTGTTGTTGGAAGCCTTTGAGGGAGAAAAACGAACACCCTGTAACCATTAGAGACTCCGGCGGACAAGCATATCTCTTCCTCTCACCCTCTCGCTCCCTCTCTCTCTATCTCGCTCTCTCTAAAACTTGCGACTCCCACCAACACGAAACCTGCGCGGGGCAATTCTGCACATCGAGAATCGATCCTAAACAGTGGTCAGAAGTGACAAAACGAGACTTGATAGGTCCCATCGGCGTCAATTTGTGCTTAAAAGAAGCTTTGGATCATGAACCCTGAGATGATAACAGAGAGCTTTTCAGAAGCGAGTGCAAGTGGAAAGTGAGAAGTGTGGCAGTATGTAGCGAGAAGAGCTACTTATACATGAAGCCTGGACCTCTCAAACCACTACCGGTTGATGAATCCCCCTTCTGTGTACGGAAATTTTGCAGGATGAATGTGTGCCCTCGAAACTCGATCATTCTGTGCGTAAGCTTCATCGAGCCGGTCAAAAGCTGTTGAAACTTGCTTACAATCGATCTTGCCACATGTCCGCACAATAAGTCAATTAGAGGCTTTTGCCACCCCCTTTGTGCAGGTACCTGCCCTCCATGTAAAGGCTCATTGGGAAATATGGGCTCACTTGTTGGTTGTCTATCAACATCGATCTTAGTCCTGACCAGTCGACTGCTCCTGGTGCCCTCCTTTCGGCCTCCGTAATTGGAATAATTCTTCTTCGCATTGTTTTCATGCGTACTACTTTACAGATCAGCCGATTCCGATCTTTGTCGACACTTTCCGAGCGGGGACCCATTTCATCTCATTCGTTGCATCCTCGAGGAAAGTCTTAGTTGCAGGCTCAGTAGCAAGAGGCGGATCTACGCGAATAGAGTGTTCTAACACATTCAAGGAACATTCAAGTCACCTTCACTTCTAATCCCTCGAAAGCTGTGACAAATCCTGGATTGGCGATCTTCGCTCGACAGGGTCCCACTTTATCCATTCAAAATCGTTCAGAACCCGTCATTTCCCAAAGTCTCTCCTTCGGACCAGTAGCGGAATGGGGCATGGAATTCTAAACTTTCACCGTTGCCGTAACGACCTGAAACTCCGATGCAGATGCAACCAAGTCATGGCATGTCCTGTTGGAACGTGCTTTTGATTCGGCCCTACCAACTGGTCGCAGAACAAGTAATTGCTAGGGTTGTAGGTAACATTTCAGCTCAGCGACAAAAAAAAGACAATACACGGCTTGTAGCTCAGAACTCGAGAAGTCCATCAACTGCTGCTGGGATAGGAGACACGTGGGATATGCGCACACAGCGTCCAATCAAGGACCTGCGCAAAGCAGTTTTTGACGCTTGTGAGCAGCAGTAATAAACCACCCATGAGATTCTTCGACTTTCAGATTGCGGCAGGACCGTAGCGACGTGATTACAATAACTGTATATCTCCTGGAGTTCGGTACGATGGATCGCAACATCATCAACACCATCAAAGCCAATCTTTGCAGTGATAGCAGTAATTACTAATGACGATCCCTGGATACACGTCGACTGAGCACAATGCACATGCGGTGTCGACGCTATGAATGCTGAAGATATGCATCTCTGACAGGAGTTCCGATAGCCTGGTCGGTGGAGTTTGAGGTTAGGAACGGGACACGGCGATTATGGCTTTACGTTGGCATGGAATCAGCACCAGGTACGAAGCGGCGTAACACTATAATGGTAGGAGGGAAGAGCGACCCAGGCGTGGGAGCGACAAAATCATGGAACTGCTGCTAGCAGTGAATTATGGACATGCCAGAAGCAGGTGGGATGCGCGAGTGCCCATGAAAAGCTGGGGATCGACGGGGCTGGTCCAGGCGCGAGGGCCGTCCCTTGTGACGCACCCCAAAAGCGTGCGTTGCACGGACCCAACGCGGCATGGCTGCGTTTGCGTGTCCTTCTTCCTCCTCTCCTCTTAATTCTCCCCGCAGATCTTCCTCTGCCATCTCCCTGGGACCATTGCATGTTCTGACATAACACCATCCCACACATCTTACTCGCTTCATTTCGCTTTCGGCTGCACTCTTCACTGTGCGATGTTCACTCACACTCCATAGCCGACCCATCGTCCACCACCCCTCCATTTCCAACATGTAGAGGGTGCTATTTCCATTATATATGGCGATTATGTCTGACATCCATTGATTGGAAATTGGTCAGGGTTGATTAAAATGTTGTTAAGTTGTGAGAAAAAAAAAAAAAAAAAAAAAAAAAAACTTTGTACTTGGAATGGGTATGCATGAACTATTAATAGGTGATAGTTGTTGATTGGTTGGGATAGAACAATAATATAATTAAATGTCACATTTCTCTTGATAGCATTAATAGGTGCCACACATCACAATTTTGTAAAAGTTGGATTTTCACTTTTTGTAACCCACAACAAGTTGGAATTAGGTAAGTCCATATGTCCAAAATGGATTGAAGAGAATCTTTAGCTAAAACATTCATATAAATTCTGCTTTTTTGACCAAATTGTGTGAAAATACTTGGAATCCTCCTGATTTCTATTTCCCTACATAGGAGTATTTTTTCCCCATTTTTACACCTACTGGATATATACTGAAATATTTAAGTTGTGGAAAATGGGTTGTCTACCCTACACTGGATAGAATTATCTATCTACACAAAAAGATGCTTTTTTAGGATATACATTGAAGCTTAGAAGTGGTGTAAAGAGACTAGAATCATGGTTGGATTAAGCTCAGAACTTATAGTTTAGAGGGTACATTTCAAGGTTGTGATAATCATGTGATTGTGAGATAATGGTAAGTTCTAGTGTGATGAGTATAGTTATTGTCTACTACATCTTGACCAGTGAGATAAAACCTTTTACAAAGCTTACAACCACTTTGGTTCATTGGTAGACGGTTTTGATATTTTTGTTTGTTGCTTCATACTTTGTTGCTACACACACACACACGTGTAGAAAGAAAAAATGAATACATGATAATTGAAAGATTATCAAGTGAAAAATAAATCTGGAGTAACAAATTTCTGAGTTGGAAAAATTATATTATATTTATTATTTTTTACATGTAAAATCATAATTTGCTTAGCTAAAGCTTCTTATCTTTCAAGTGTTTAACAGCTATTAACAAGATATTATATATATGTATATATATATAATTTATTCAAAAATCATGGAGTGACAAAGAATAACTTTAACATGTATCTATCAATCATTTGTTTTCTCAAGTACAAGAGCAACAGTCATGGGCACCATGCATACAGACATACTTTCCCTGTCATAGATAGAAAAAGGAGAAAAAAACCCTTTTTGACACTATGGTGTATGAATTGTTTGTGTATATATATATATATATATATTCATACATACTTATTATTTGTATCTGAGGATGTGATGAGTGCACAGTTTGAATGGCATGTTTCATGTGAGTTCATGCCATTTTGCCAGGTGGATCTTTGTTCCCATATTCTTTACTAACTAGTTGATATTTAAGTTTTATATTATTTTGGCAATTATTTTGAGGAGGGAGGATATTATTAATATTATTATTATGAGAGGCATGAAACATTAAATAACACACAGAAAGAACAAAATGGACTTTTCTCGAAGGTAATATGGTGGTAGTTTCAATTCACTTACTTGAAGAAATCAATATTGCAATTCAAAAGGTAATGCAAACATACTTAAAATTCAAAACTAAACAACACACCAGAAGTGGGTATTACAGAAAAGACTAGAGGGAAACATCATCAACACAGAAACAGTATTAAAACCTAGACTTTGGTTCAATTAAAACATGCCATGTTTCTCGCTTTATATTTTTCCTTACCAACGATTGTGAAAATTAAATTTAAAAAATTGAAAACTCAATATTATATCAAAATAATCAACAGACCGAAAGTCCAACTTCAATATGGTTCTATGATCTTCATTGGGGCCCTTTGTGAATCAATCTGCCGGGACAACTGTCAACTTTTCATGCAGCACCATCTGAGATATTTTTCCTCCTAAATATGACCAAAATATTTATCATTATTTTTTTTGTTTTTGTTTTTGTTTTGGAGGATTACATTTGGAGCATTTCTTAACATATCTGGAGAATGAAAACAAAGCATTGTCAACATTCCCAAGCTCCCCCAATAATAAAATAAACAAATAATATTTATATGCAACCTTTGAGTGAATAGCTGATTTGCAGAAGATACAATTGTCCACTTTCGAAGGCCGTATCACAGGCTTGTTCCAGATTGCCAAAGAAGAAGACAAATTCAACTTTTTGAATTAACTTGTTTGGGAAGGAAGCATGTGGGCATGATAAATGGTACATATGGTAGACCTTTTCACATGCAAGACCACATCAAAACTCCAAAAATGAATCTATGAGGTATAAATTATAATTTTCTAAAATCATTTCTAAAAAAGCATTATTGACGACTTGACGGTGTAAACATCGTTCCAGCATTCATTCAATCATATGTTTCAATGGCTTTTGTTTCTTTGCTCTTAAATAGAGAAGGTGCTATTATTATAAGTAAGATCCTTTTGTTGCTCTGCCCATGGAACTTAAAAATGCTTGATAAAATTTGAGAAAAAGTTATGGCTCACAGAGTTGCAGAAGATTGGGGTTAATTTTCCAGCACAATTCAAGGTGACAAGGATGATTTGATTCCAACTTGAAAACTTATCCTGACAACTTCATTTTTAAAATTTTTATTCGGGGTAAATATTGATACTAACTGTAACTATTATATATTTTTTCATCGAAACAGGAATTTCGATTGAGTATTCAGTTCTCATTTACATTTTTTTTTTTTTTTTTTTTTTTTTTTACATTCTTAATGGCTTCAATAAATTAATGCATTCTTAAACTAATGATTTTTATTCTTAATGGCTCCTATAAATTCCTCTCTATTTTGCTTTTCATGAACAGTCTTGAAATGAGACATATATCTTTTAATTATGATTATCATTCTTATTATACTTTATTTCTTTTTATTTATTAATTGTATTCTTTTCTTCTTGTGCTCAACCGTTCAATAAATACTATCTGAATTTGATCAAAAACTTATCATAGTCATTTATATATATATATATATATATATATATTTGTCTTAAACTTGCAATCAAACATTCACTACTGATTTTGGGAGACTTCACTATTTCAGTCAATTATGTCTTTGCATATAGTACTTTATTCTATTTTTGTTGTTTTGAAGATATCACTGCTTTCATCTATCAATTTTGCTTTGAACAATAATAGGATTGTCCCATTGCTTAGATTAGAAGAAGTGGATCAGACATCTTACATGCTGATATCATATTGAAGGGAGGGGATTTAAGAGCAAATAATTTACATGTCACACTTCTTTATAATGTTTAAATTTTGTTTGTTTATTTATGCATCCATGGTATATCCAATACATTGATTAGTATGTAGGTATCAAGGATATGAATCTTA